TGCACAATATTCACCTTCAGATCTGCTCTACAGGCTGTACAAGGGCGCTAATGCTTCTTTTTATTTTCTCATGACCTTCTCAGTGTCGAGGAGCAGGGAAAGATGAGCAGCAGTGCGACAAGAGCAGAACACACTGAATGAGATAATCCAATATTGTGTCGACTCTTAACATCAACTAGAACATAGCTGATTTGCCATCGCCAATCTTCATGAGATTGAGTCTACATATCTAACTTCATTATCTTTCACGTAACGCCTCCTATACCCAGCCTTTTGCGCGAGTTCAAGCTGCCTTTTCTACTTTTTACACTCGATAGAACTGGTGTAGCTGGCCAATCACTTCAAGAAACTTTGTTAATGGAGACACGCTTACGCGTCCATGCTTATAAACAAGCATGTATTAGGTTATCCCAAAAGTAATTTTCTTCTTCAAAGAAATCAGACTGTTTTTGTTCTCCTAGTAGACCTAGGGTACCATTCAATAGAGCGAGGCAAGCTCTACAAAATGGCCATCAGAGATTCGCCTAAGTTGTAATCCAGATAAAATTTAGAGCCAAAAAATTTCTCAGATACCATGAAAATCGGATCTCCCTCCAGAATTCTTACAAATCTCCAACTTTATACAGTAGAAACATAGTAGTGCCCAAAAATGGATTTGATGGATTTTTGCGGGGCTCAAAATTGAGAAATTAAAATGACCCGAAAATGCAAAAATGTTACTCTTTTCGGTTTTTCAGACTGTTTAACTTGGTATTTCTCAATCACCAAAGCACAAACAAAATTCTGGGAATATATTTATTAAGGCTTGTATACAATGACATATGTGGGACGGACTAAGGACAGAATTTGCCATTTTTGATTATCTTTTTTTCTCGCTTTTTAAGCGCTGTTTAAATCCAGCGAAGGCATTTTTGAGTACTGCTATGTGTGTACTACTGCATAATGACTAAGTTCGAGGTCCTTGAAATTTCTTCGCGGAAAAACTCAATTTTCCGGTGATAAATTGTTTTACGATTTTGGCTTCAAATTTTGACCGACATTTTGTAAATGCTTCACTCTATTAGAAGACACTTTAGATTTGCTTGGAAAACAAAAACAGCTTGGTTTATCTAGAAAAGGAGTTTAGTTTACTTTTGGGACAACCTGATAGAAGATGGAATACGTTTTTTAATGGAAAACAACTCCTAGGATGGTTGCAACGCGGCATCTGTGCTGGAGCAAGGCTCTTTTCAGTCACTGCTCCCATACTGCAGCAAATTTGCAGATTACCCTTTTTCATTTGATTTTGTTAATAATTTAGCAACCACGACCACGACCACAACCACCACAACTCTTACGACCTCGATTTCTACGACACAAGAAGAGCGAAAAGAAGAAAAAAGTGGTGAAAAGCAAGAAAAAGAAAAGAAGCAGAAGGGGCTGTCACCTGTGGGTTCTGTCTTTTGCTTCGGCTACATTCGTGCTTTCTATACAAAATCAATTTCAGCTACTCATAGCAGGTATCATAATAGTAGCGGTCCTCGGCGTTGTGATAGTGATTACGATGTTCGTAGCCGTTTATAGAAGGAGAAAACAAAGACAAGAAAGGCAAGAAAAACAAGTAGAGAAAGGGCAAGAAAGAGAGAACGCAAGCGCAAGCGCAAGCAGCTCGTCCAGTGGCGGGGCATCCTCAAGTGGAAGAAGAGCGCCGACAAGGCGCTGAAACACACGGATCCGGATCGACTACTTTAAAAGACGAAAGTCCAGAAAGTATTACTAGTTGTGATTTAAATGATACTGTGCGTTCGATTGAAAAATAATTGCTTGCTTCTGTTAATGATACAACAACACAATACACGGTGTATTTAGTGTTGTAAGTGGATCCCGTTGGTATTTGTCTATATCACAAAACATTGGCAAAATTGCTATTCCACGTTAGGTGACCTAAAGAATGAAAAGCTTGGAATTCACTAAAACTAGCGGCATTAAGTGACCCAAAAAGTAGAAAAATCGCAAACTTCGTCTAAGTTATCTTTTACACTAAGGAGATCATATTAAGTTGGAAAGAAAGTTCTCAGACATCGCATATAGACAAGGTTTTCGTTTCGATGTAAACACTAATCGGGGCATGCTGCACTATTGGATAGAGAAAAGCAATCTCTACAAACCATGGTAAGCGCAAGCCTTATCAATGTTTTCAGTGTAAATTCAAGCAAAAACCCTAAACCATAAGCTTTGCCCTAACCCAGATCTCCAACTTCTATAAATGTTATGAAACCCGCACATGCTCCAATTCATAGTATACACATACTTACATACTTAGTCGCACAGTTCAGATCAAATTTGAGCTTGAATAACAAGAAAAATGAGGTAACTAAAAAGTGACAAACTCCGCCTCCATTGATTCCAGGCTCCTCCCACTTGCAATTTCAGATACAGGCAAGTGAAAATACAGCTGCAAGTTTTTGCGCATGTACATACATGAGATTTCGAGATATAACAAATTTGATCAAAAAAAGTCCGAGAACTTTCTTTCCAACCTAATATCTCGCGCGGTAGTGCCATCTGCTGGGATTACGGGAAGATTAAAGGCACACCGTCTACCCAGATTTTCGACTTCCATGATTTAATCATTCCGGGGCCTTTGGAGGATCCTGGCCGCCGTCCAGAAGGGCGTTGCATGGGCCGCAGATTCAAAACACAGTTGTTGGGGGGTGAAAATACGAGAAAATCCATTAATTTTTTTAATCAAAATCGTGAACATTTAGTTATCGCCAAACCGTCAAACTTAGAGGTAATTTCATACGCTAGTACACTAAGTTGTCTGCATCCTTGAAAGAAGCTTAGCTTGAATGAGGCTGCTGTGTTGGTGATCTTCGGAAAAAGCGCACCTCCTGGCCGTCTTCCATAGTTGCCTACTATTTTCCATCCTTTTTCTCATTGTGGACAAAGTCATTTTTACACATGAACTTTGTTGTAAATGCGAATGGAAAAGACTGTTTTTAAGCAAAATAATACTCATTTTTAAATTAAATAGAGATTTGCCTTCACGTCGCCATCAAATAGTGGTTTTGAAGCTGCCAAAATTCCGACCATCGCGTTCTCCATAAGTGTTTTAATTTTTGGGATTATTACAAAGCGAAAACAATGCAAAGCAGTCCCAAACATCTAGCGTAAGTTCTAAAAGGCTTATGTTAAACAAATTAGACCCCCTAATAAACAGTTTTCGTTGAAGTTGATAGAGTTGATTGGGTCAAACATCCCTTCAAAACCAGGTCACCTGACCTAAATGTTCTTGACCACTTATGTAACTTGCCTTCAACTGCTCCGTTGTTGTAATATGTTATGTACTTACCTCAGTAAGAATCTGACTCCAAACCTTCCTTTCCCAAGATTGCAGCTCCTGAGAAACTCCTACTCAAGTAAAAATCACCGTCAAAAATGCCGTTCTAACATGTACTCGAACGCAGTCACTGAAAAATGTGCCTACTTTTGCTCATAGTTCCAAAAAAACCAAAAACTTCTCAATGGAAGCCAGATATCCAGAATAGCATATTTTATACCCCAAAAGGTGAAAAGAAGAAAGAACGTTTAGGTAAGCGTGTAGGAAACTGGGAAGGGTCTTTTTAACGGCGTGCGGATGACTGTAAGTATCGAGGCGCTCTAACAGTGGATATTAATGTTTATTATAATCGTACTTATCACTGTATCAGATTAGCGCTGGAAAAATTGCACTTTCCTCGTCATTCCGCTCCAAAGGGCTCATAACTTCCCGCTCACAGTCGTTCCGTGGATAAAGACGCAAGGCTTATAATTTTCACCTCAAAACGGCCACTTTGAATGACCCAGATTTCTTTCATAAGTGGTTGTGAGGTAAGCGAGGAGTGGCGAGAGCCTGCGCGAGCAGGATACAAAGGTTTTCGAAAGGTGACGCTATTGCATCAACTTAACGTTCGTAATACCTCTCCACTTGGGATTAAGGCCTCAAGCTTGAACAATTGACTTTCGGCTGAACATCAGTGACCAACCTTGCGCAGCCTATAATGAAAACTTTGGAAATTTCCGTTTTCATTCATGGCGGCGTCGAACTCCGCGGAAGTTCCCGTGGGTCGTCTTACTCAGACACTGGGACGGCTGAGCCGCGGCCTCAAAAGGCCTTTCCGGCCCGTCCGCGGCCTTAATTTGGGGGCGTGGCCGAAGACCGGCCCAGCCGCGGACCTTAATTCATGTCGATATGATTGCACCGGCTGAGCCGCGGACTGAATATGGCTTACCGGCCCAGCCGCGGCCTTAATTTGGGGGCGTGGCCGAAGACCGGCCCAGCCGCGGACCTCAATTCATGTCGATATGATTGCACCGGCTGAGCCGCGGACCAAAATCTCTATAACGAAACACCGGCTGAGCCGCGGCCCATTTTCGGCTCGGCCGGTCCTAGTATCTGAGCGTAAAGAACACTTGCGTGATGTACGACGCATGGTCAGGCTGCCCTCAGTGTCCATAGCCTTCCATGTCTTTCCAGTCTCCAAGGCAGGAACAAGACCAATGTGTTGTACAACACCTGGATAGCACTTTGTGTTGTCCAATTTTGAAGCCGGACATGGTTTCCGAAGCGGCCATGTCTGCGACTTCAATTTTTGTTTTTCACAGCGTGTATATACGCGCCAGTGAATAAAAAAACAGTCGTTTTGTATCCGAGCTAGAATGAACTATATGGCCCGACAACCAGCTCCGGCTGAGCCGAGGCCGTTTTCCGGCTGAGCCGCGGACCTTCACCGGCTGGTCCGCGGACCTTCACCGGCTGGTCCGCGGACGCTGCGAAATTCCAGCCGGAAATGGGCCGCGGCTCGGCCGGTCTCAGTGTCTGAGTACAAGTGAGGGAAGATTATGCAGTGTAACACATCGCTTCGTCGGTCGTTAGATCTTCTAGCGTCCTTCCTATATGAGTGATTGATTGTTTACATATCAAGCCTCATTCATTTATTATATGTATCTTTTGTTGGGCAGTTCTCAGTCAATTACAAGTGGACGAATCAGTCGGTTATGCTTATGCGTTTCTGGGCAATACTTATCTCTATCCAGCTGCTGTTCATTCATGTTCATCTGGTACATGTTTTCTGGGCACTGCTAGATGGCCTAGTACCTGTGAGTCATTATTATTGAATTATACCAACCAAGACGCCAAAACCAAGCAGTGAGGGAGCCTTCATCCTGCGCCGGCAGCCGCCGCCAGCAGCCATTGAAGTGACTAGGCAGCGGCGAGTTTGAAGTATTTCGTTCGATTCCCCTAGAGAAACTGAGTCCAACAGCTTCTGGATTTCAGTAACTCGGACATAGAAAGTGCTTCGTGGGCGGGGAGTAAAAGGCCGCCCTCTAGCAAACGATTGACTCGTGGTGTCCAGGTAGGTTGAGACAGCCACTCCTCTCGTTCTCAGTTGTGTTATTGGCTCCAGCACCAATCGTACTATAAAGAGTAGGGCTTCCGCTTCCCGTCGAAGTAGTAATTTCCGCGTCCAGTAAAATGAGTTATCAATATCTCCAAAGCCGCAAAGCACAATTTTAGACTCAGCTCCTTCAGATAAGTCAAAAACGATAAATGCTCCAAAGTATCAATCTGCTGGGCCACTGCCCTTATCGCCTGCAGCCATCAGCCGTCCGTCAAAGTAGGCGCTTTCATCATATACCATAGGTCCTCTTGTCTTTGAACCTGGGGCGGTATTTATCAATCTCCTGTATGGGAAGGGGTTCCCCTACAGGTAACAGCCCGTATAGGCGCGAGCACTGGCGCCCGCGATATATGAAGCCAAGCTGTGACCGGGCTCCTATCTATTGAGGAATATGGTCCGACCTGGCAAGTTTGGTTATGTAGGGCACGGCAGCTGGGCAGCAGTTCCCCATCTCGACGAGTCGGACGGCGCTGCCCGTTTGGGCCGCGTTTCTCAGACTTTCGTAAATCGCGGAAAGGGCGCTTTCGCCTGTGCGGGCTCTCGTTAACAATGGCCCGCATAGCGAGTGGGCGATTGCTACCGCCCCTGGGCATCTTCTTGTTTATGTACTATTCTGTACTTCTGTATGTGATCTGTTTGTCCAAAACTATTACGCAAATTCAAGTACTTCACTTGCGCAAGCTAAAGTTTATTCGCGGAATGAATCTCTTCGGATTTGGATGCGCTCATTCTTTTCGAATGTGCCTTGCTGCTACAATGATCTATTTCTCAGTCACAAATTGAAAGCTATGCCAATGTAAAAAGATGTGCTCCAGAAAAAGATATTCCATATGACAAAGGTAAACGAAACAAAGCACACCAAAAAGACGACTACGAATACAAAGGTAATGTATGAGAGTAGTCAAACTGCACATGAGAGTCATGAAGAAGCATGGAAGATGACTTCAAGTGCACTCAAACTTGGAGGAGCGAATCGGAAGTAACTACACATTGGAAAATTTTAAAAAAACGGAAGATAAGAAGCATAACTTGCAGTGTGATATGGTGATTTTGCGCTCTCAAGATAGAAAAACGGCTGACGATGGAAACGGATGCTGATGGCTGTCTATCTATTCGTCTATCTACCTGTCTGTCTGTCTGTCTATTTTTCGTCTGTCTGTCTGTCTGCTCCGAAAAGAAATTCCTTTTCTGATCCAATCAGGTCCAAACCTGGCACACATACAACGGCATTGCAGTAGCAGTCTACTTTTCGTCATCGACCTGCAACTTCTTCAACAATTTTTATCGATTTTCTACGTTCGAGCTACGGAGCTGGCACAGGGGATTAACTAAGCATTCTAATTACGAATGCAATAAGTCTTAAGAAATTTTTGCAAAGTTTGAGCTTTGGGACTGGGAGTTAATATGGGAGCCTGCATAATCGCGAGAGTGGATTGGCCATTGCGCCGACCACGTCCGATCTCACTGCACCGCTGCCAAATTTATCCTGTTTAACCTGTTCGTCCGGTTCACTCATTCGCTGTTGGTCAAATCAATGCACTGACCAATAGCAGAGGGGGTGAATGAACCCGTCGAAAAGGTAAGTCTGGCACACACCTAATTCATGGGACGGACAAGGGACCTTCTCGGCGCAATGGCCGTACGCACGTCCGACTCTCGCGATGTGACCATGCAGGCCCCTATACAGATGGGATGACTATGCTGATTAATGGGTCGCGAAAATTTTGAAAGTTGCTTGAGTTATAAAAATGTGCAAGTGGCTTGTTTATACTTGTAAATAATTAAAGTCTTTTTTAAACTTTTTAAAAATTCAGTTTAGCCTTATAAATAGAATTTTTCAGAGCCGTGGCTAGCGCCATGCCCCCTTTTCTGTAACTCGGAGTTAGGAGTACGCAAAAATTTTGAAAAGCATACCAAAAAATTCTTCGGAGTGCGTGGCCCAGGCCACGTACTTTATCGGAAAAATTTTTTGTCTCCCCCCCCCCCCCCGAACGAAAACCTTGGGTACGCCGCTGGAGGCAAGGTACAGGTATACAGAGTTGGGACTCATGAGATGTGTTGGCTTGTCATCCTATCACACCGTGATAAAAAGGGCCTACCGAGCATAACGGGTCATATTTGTCATATATCACACCCATTATCATTTATCATATCCATATTTAGCATGTGAATAACCTCTGGCCCAATAAACGAATTTGAAGTCCAGATATTGGGCCACCTGAGTGAAATGATCATTTTCGACATGATAAAGTTTCTTCAAAATTGAATTAGCTGCCTCTTTTTGCACTCAAGACAAAGCACTACTCTTTCGCCGACTCCAGAAATTTCGCATCAAAGAACCACACGCTATGGAATTGAAGCGCCAAATATCGTTTGTCCTATTATCCGCTTTTAGGGCTGTGCTTTCTCCATCTATTACTTTAGCAAAGGAGACGATTCTGCAAATCGCATACAGATGCGGCTTGAGTAACAATTCGATAGGGCAAAGTAAGCTCTCCAAGATGAGTATCAAGAGTGTGCACAAATCGCATTTCACGTAAAGTTTTGAGCTGAAATATGATAGCAGTCAAAAACGAGTTTCACTGTCAAAAATCGTATCTCCGCCCCAAAAAATTCAAAAAATTTCTTATTTGACCTAGCATATGTTTGACACATCGAACATTCAACTAGACAATTTTTGTATTTTTTCCATGGCTAGAAACTAAGAAAAAATGAATGGAAGTAAAATGGCAAATCTGTCCAGACGTCCTGAGCTCCTCGCACGCACGTGATTGTTTGGCTCATACATACTGAAGTACAATCATGTATTTGTATCCTTTGTAGTTGCCCTAGTTCTCGAGAAAAGCTGATGTTTAGAGTAGAAATGGTAAATAATTATGGGACATCCTAATATAATATAATATACAGTTTCCCTCACAATGGTCAGCTCCTCAACGTGCGTGGGGATGACACTGGTGTCGAACTGCACAGCCAAGTGTATGTATACTCTGGTAGGCCCTCCCAAGCTGTAAAGGAGTTCGACGTTTCCGGTTTCGGCCGGATGCCTAGCTGAGAGCCGGCCAGGCCACATCCACCGCCGTCTCGTTTTCCCGGTCGCTAAGCGGTCCTGCCCGCTCCACACCCGGGTCAGCGATTGCTCCGTGGAAATCAGGAGTGGGCTTACTCAGACAATCGCCAAGGCGGCCAGGCGAATTTTGAGCAAGCGGGCACCGAAAAAATAGTTCGCTGATTTCTTGCGGTCCGCTTGCAGAAATTTGGAATAATTTTGGCCAATGTTTAGACGAACGCTTAAAAAATTATCGCGGTTTTTCTATGGATTTGCGGCTCAGTGACCGCGTTCTCGTGGATTTTCCGCGAGAATATGCAAAATTGCTCGGGGCCGCACGGTCCTTTGTGAAGGACCACACTGCCCAGAGCACCGTTTAATTCAACGATTGGCTTCGGCAAAGGCGGGGCTTCGTGACCTAATTAGGACTAGGTAATGATCAGAGAGCACTCGCGCGAGAGAGAACTGAGGCCGCGTCGCGGGCGCGAACGGCCTCAGTTGGATCACGGAACCCCGCCCTAATGGTGCCAAGCCAGTTGAATCAAAGGTTAGCTTCCGTTGAAAGAAGGTACACCAAACTTGGGTAACTGTAGAGTCTCACCTTTGCTCGGCGTACGGCCGAAACTGCTTAAAAAGAGTCCGAGCTTGCTGAGAGAAATTATTTGCCGAGAGCTTGCAGAAAATGCTGTATTGCTGCCCGCTGGCAGAATATGCGACCGTAACGGAAGTGCCGCCCGCTGAAAGTTTGGCAACGCCCCAAAATTCTGCTGACCGGCTGCAGAAAAGCAAGAGTTTGTGGACCGCTTGCCCCGGCGATTATCTGAGTAGTAGATCTGCTCTTGTAGGGGAAAATATGTCATTACTCCGCCAGTTAGAAGAATAGAAAGAAACCCTGTACATCAGGGGTGGTAGTAATCTACCCTACCGCTCAGATAACCGCCGGGGGTAGGCGGTCCGCAAACTCGCGTTTTTCTGCAAGCGGTCTGCAGATTTTTGGGGCATGGCCAAACCTTCAGCGAGCGGTACTTCCTTTACTGTCTAATGTTCTGCCAAGGGGCAACAACGCAGAATTTTCTGCAGGCGCTCGTCAAATAATCTCTTTCAGCAAACGCTGGCCGAACTTTCAGCAGGCCTCGGACTCTTTTTACGGAGTTTCGGGCTTACGTCGAGCACAGGTAAGTGTGGCGGAGGTGACACCGTTGGTTTAATTACTCAAGTTTGAGGTACTTTCTCTCAGCCGAAGGTACCTGGGGGCTGCGTCCTCCACAAAGGACCGTGCGGTCCTCGGAAATTTCGCATATTCTCGCGGAAAGTCGGTGAGATTGCGGCCACTGCGCCGCAGCTAATCCTTAAGGAAACCGCGACTGTTTGTCGCGGTTTGTCTAAAATTTCGCTGAAATTCTCCCAAATATCTGCAAGCGGACCGCAAGAACTCAGCGAACTATTTTTCCGGTGCCCGCCCGCCCATAAATCGCATGGCCGCCTGCCTCCGGATATTATCTGAGCTGGTGGCATCAAAAATGCCGGCAAGTTCGCGAACCTCGCGGCATGCTCGTGTTTCGGGCGCAAGCTAAATCTTGCTTTAGATTCTCGCTTTTTGATTAGCTTTGTGACATCTTATTCGCTTCGATCGCTCGTAGGTTCTGATAGTT